GTTCAGCATGGGGGTGAGTAGAAAATGAAGGCTAATCATGTTTTGGGTGTACTATTCCTTTAAGGGGTTTTTGGGATCTTATAACAATGGACAGTGAATCTGTTATTGGCCATAAACCTGCAATCGGTGCACCCCTAGTTTCCACATTAACCCTGTAATGCCAAATGTATCATATTTGATACATACGATTTCTGAAATGTTTTGATCTGACACCTTTTGCATAATTTAATGGTAAAAACTTTGCTCAAAATCCTATTGTACACAATCAGATATACCTGATAACAGAGGGCAGAAGACTAGACAAAAAATTATCTTGACTTATCACATAGTAATAAATTATTAATATCAAAAATTTATTTCTGTTTTTCCTTTTTACATATTTTGTTAAAAGGCCAAATAAGGACTTCAAACCACAAAAAAAAAAATTTTCTATTTTGTTTTATTCTTGGATCGGGCTTTAAAGGGTAAAAGAAAAATATGACAGAGGGATTCATTTAAATTGGTGCTCACTTGCTGGGATTTTCTAAATTATACATATTGATATTTGACTGGTCTTTATTAAAAATGGCTTATAGCTGTCATTATAAAACTATCTACATTTCACTAAATGTTAAGACATCTCATGTGGCTGCTGAGTTGGATAAATGAAATAAAATAAAGAATTCACCTTTTCTAGGACGCTTTCGCTTATTATATAAGGTTATGCAGGAAGATGCAATGCAAGCTGCTTGAAAACAGACATCTTAACTGATACACACAGTAGGGAGGTCAGCAAGCAAATTATTTCAGTACAGCTATTTTGTATAGAGGTAATTCATGTACAGGTTTCCTACAGCATAAGACAAGTGAAATTCAAGACTTTTTAAAACATTTTAATGCCACTTAAAATAAAAAATCAAGACCAACTTTACAATAAACACAAGAAAAACCTGGTAGCGACAATTCTACTCCAAATGTTTATTTTAACATAAACCATTACTTTTCCGCCTAGTAGATGTGTTTTAAATTTTGAAAAACTTTCAATATAGGAACAAAGCTAAAAACACACAAATAACAGTGTAGTGTTACTAGTGTTGCGCCAATGCCATTTTTTTGGCGCAGATAACAATACCTGGCCGTGCAGTATTGTCCGATACCATCTGTTTGAAATTTGATGTGTGTGTATATCTGAAGAACTGCATACTATTTGGATGTAAAATAATTGCCATCATGGCTTTGTCAAGCTGCTGCCTACCTTTGTGAAGCAGGAAAAAGACTAATACAAAGTAAATCCAGTTTTATTGCCTACCTGGAATGGGTGAAAATAGTTGAATAAATTTTTGGCTCTCAAAACGGTATCTGTGCCCTAATTGTTGGTACTTGCCAATACCGATATTTTACTGTTTGATATGGCTTACAAAAATAAAATCCTATTTATGATGTGGTAACAATTTTAAGACTTATGAAAGACTGATTTAAGACATTTTGATATCAATAAAGGCCTTGATTTTATATTGAAGAATTCAATGCCTTATAAGAATTTTAAGGATCTGCAGGAACCCTGCATGTAGAAATGTGTCAGCTCACTATATATTTTATTTTAATGCCCCAACTCCTATTCCTGCTGTAATTTGATGTTAGAGGTGAAATGAGATGAGTGATCGCCTGGATCAGACTTACTGTGTGAAGGGACGCCGAGCAGCTCGGACAGGTCGGGGAAGCAGCGGTCATCCTGCAGGTGTCTGTCTATCAACCGAGCAGAGTTATCCAGCGCCTCGGCGAGCGCAGCTGCGGGGCTGCTGACTCCAGCGACGGACGGCATAGCTGGAAAGTAAAACACCGCTGACTTACCTGACATTAAACACACATGACCGTGTAAATACAACTTTATTCAGAGGGTGAAATTTGGATAGGAGCTTGATATAAAGTCGGTTAGCTGCTACAGTTAAAATAGTAACATTTAGCATGCAAGCTAACACTTAGCTTAAAGTTAAATTAAGTGAGATTTGTAAATAAATTGGTTAGTTTACCAAGCTGCAAATGCTCCGGGCGGACCTGAACGTGATAACTGAGACGTTTTGTTGGATCTATTATGCTGCAGATTTAAACAAAAACATCCAACACACACAGCAGTAACTAACAACCCGCCAACCTCATGCGCGGAAGCTGTCTTCTTTGCTTTCTCTATGGGTTGTTGCTTGACACCAAGAAATGGCAGTAGTGCTGCCCCCTACTGGTGTGGTTGACTAAATGGTTGTTCTTCTTTGTTATATTGGCGGATTGCAACTTATAGGTGCATACCGCCACCTACTGTACATGAGGGTGTAGCTTTATGGTTCCGCCTACTATATTCTATTTTATTTTTATTTTTGTGTTATGTAAAAATAAAAACAGCGCTTTATTAATAACCAAATTTTCCTCCCTATCTCCATCGGTCCCTAAATTTCCTTTAATACTCTATTCTCTCCTTTTTCCATAATTACTTTCCTCATCCTCTCTCTTTCAGTTGCATATTTAATGCAATCCATCAAAACATGTACCACATCGTTCCAAAAGATAAGAACTTTGTTTGGTAGAAAAATAATAAATATTTTTATGGAAAAAAAATGGAATGAGACAAAAAAAATTTCTAACTCTGTTTGTCCTAATCTACTTTGTAGAAATATTGACTTATTTCTAATCAGTGCTTATAGGTACAATATTTGTATATTTTTTTGCAGTTAGTTATTAAAAGCTCTGGTTCAAATTTTCTGCAGACACTTCAACAATGTTAAAAAAGTATTTTAAAGGAAGTTTTGCTTTAACTCAGTAAAAAAAAAAAAAAACATGTGCCTTAAACTAACAAATAACAGGTAGATAGTAATAAAAATAAATGTAGTTATAGAAGTTGCTTCAGTCATTTTATTCATTTTGTGAAATGTCATCCAAGACATATAGTAGTGGAATAATGATGTTTTATTGTAGATAAAGTAGTGTATATTTTATTTTGGTACTACGTCCCTTAAAACATAAACAAAACAAAAAAATAGAAATTTATAAGTTTTTTAACCATTCAAAATGGCATTTTAGAACTAGAAGGGTGATGAAACACCTGGTCTAACATAGATGACTTACTGAAGGCAGATACTGTAATGATGTCAATGGGAACTGTGCCATGAAAATAAAAAAATCATCTATATATAATCCTAGAAGTATAATCTCATGTTGGAAAATATGAAAAATTCAAGTTTTATTAGAAAATAATTTCATTTTTATAGCTAATTCCAAATGGGACAGAGAGAAGAACATGTCTTTCAAATATGCTGACATGTTAAACTAATCGAGTAAGCAGCTAAACGTCAAAATGACAATTTATGTTATCAGAAAAATAATTACTGAGAAAACTACAGCAAGTGTGACTAAACAGCACCAACCATTAAAAGTCTGAATATGTGCAGAAGCACCTCATGCTCACTGTTAGGCAATAGTAAAGGGTCTGTGATGCTGTGGGACAATTTCTCCTCCCAAGACCCAGGGAATCTTATTAAAGAGAATCACATTCCAAACCGTTAAATGTCATATTTTAACTACAAATGCTGTGTTTGTGCAAGAAAAGTTTTAAAAATGTGTCATTGGTTTGGTTTTTGGGGTTAATGATCAAAAACGTGGTTAAATCAGCACAGAAACGCAGCACTTTCTTGGAACATCTTAAACTTTCAAACAGCTGGATCTTATTCTGTTTTCTTAGTATTTTTCTAGTATCATTACCATGTAATTAATGATCAAATATATCCTATGATTTCACGATGTTTATATCCTATAATATCCACGATTTTTTTTTCTTTTTTACCTCAGTTACTGTCACAATTGACAATTTTTGGGAAATAAAGGCAAGATAATTGTTGACAAATTGATCAGAATAAGAGGGATTTTTTATTTATCTTTCTCTCCCATTTAATAGGGGGATAGCTTCTATTATCTACTATTCCAAATCGGAAAGAGAGCATGTATTTGAAGTAAGCTGGATATATTTCCTGTAATAGTTTAGGCGAGTGTGGACCTAGGTGGATTTGCTCACCAAGCATACAAGATGATAAAAAAGGTAACTCTAATTAAAAATCATTAAAGAGCTGCAGGAAATCTTCATTAATTCTGAAGATCAATGTGATGGTAAAAGCTTTTTACATGTCCTTAACCATAAAGCTAAAAGGCTGGATTTTAAAAATGAAAAATTGTCGGTTTTAAAATCCATCTTTAAAGAAGTCTTACCATATAAACACCAGGAGATCAGTAGTTTAATCAAGCACAGATGAGAAGAGTCTTGGGATAAAAAAGGTTACGTTTTTTTATGGAAAAATGAACGCAAGAATTTAAGAAAGAAATAAGAAAAGTTTATTGCAGTAGAAGCTCCACCAGAGGAGCGGTGGATAACTTTATTGTTTCCCTGTGCTAATTCACACTGAACCTACTGAATATTAAAACACTATTAGCACAGATACTGCACCGCTTTCCTCATAAATAGTTCATGTCAGAGAGAGTCTATAACACAGATGGAGCTAAACAGCAATTTCTTTATAACAAGACATTAAAATTTGCTGGACATCAAGTAAATAAATTCCTCTGGATCTAGTTATAATTCCAAAAAAAACACTTTATTAAGAACATCATCAATACACTAACTTCCAACATTCAGTTTGTTTTTTTGTTTGTTTGTTTTTTATACAGAATTATGTTCAGATATAAACAGGTTTTTTTTTTTTTTTTACTTAAACTATGATACAGCGGGAGTAAAAATCAAACATCCAGGTTGCTGCACAACAGCGAAGGGACTCCCACACAATGTTTTCACAAACATTTTCTTCTTCCATTTTTTTCTTGTGTTAACTTAAACATCGGTATTTAAAAAAAAAGAAAAAAAAAAAAAGATTTCCTCCACCAAAGCTTTAAATCTAAACAGGTGAACGTTCTCTGGGTGGGTAACATAGCGGATCCATGGATTATAGCTGGGAGGGACACTCGGAGGAATTCCTGTTATTAACTCTTTGTCCCGTCCCTGGACGCGTAGAGCGCTCGTAAAGTCTGTGCCACTTTGTTCGTGAGCTTCTGTCCGCTTGTCAAGGAGATTTTCTTGTAAATAATGTCCGACTCCTTGATGTTGTCGACCCAAGGCACCTTTTTGCGACCGTCCCGTTTCTTTGCCACGGCCCAAGGTCCAGAGTAAGATCCCGTCATCCAGTGTATGCTGTAGCCGCTCCTGTTCTTTTGGATGATCTTGGCGATCTGCGGTCGGTCTTTGTATTTGGGCCGACAGATGGCGACTATGTCCATTACCTCCACCACCTGACCCGCGTCCTCAGCAGAATCCACATCTTTTCTTGGTTTTCGCTGTGGATTTAAAAAGAAAACAATGAATTGCGTCCTTTTGATGCCTCATCCCTGTCATAGATTAGAGTGAACCCACGCTATAACGCTGTTCACTTTTCACGGTCTCGCTGCTTCACGGATTTGCATCATGCACTGTGTTCTGCATTCTGATTGGCTAAACAGACTCTTCGCGCCTTCTCCCAAATGTGTGTCAATAATGTTATGGTTTAATATGTACAGTACTGTACGTGTACGTAAAACCACTTGCCAAATTTAAGTTTGCTAATTATCTTGCAATTTCAAGTTTCTCTAAAAACCATAATGTCGACGAAACGTTCTGCACCGACAAAGGCACTTGCGGTCGGGCCCAAAAGGCATAGAAAGATGCAAACTATCGCAGAAAAAGTTTAACTTCTGGACTTCATTAATGAATTAATGAACACTTGGTCGCTTAGCAACAATGCTGAGAATGGCCACTGAACTTCAGCGTGCAGCTCAAGAATGTGACCCTTTGATGAGCCGTTCATTACAGTTCTCCAACGTAATCGATGGTGGCATGTCGGTGTACAAGGATCTTTTTGCAAAGAAGAAAAAAGAGCGACAACAACTACCGATAACTATGTTCTTCTCTCCAAAAATACACAGCTGCACCGCATGCTTTAGAAGACAAAAACGCCACAGAGCAGAGTCAGGATGCAGCGGCTCCGTCAGAACAGCAGTGAAATGCTGCACTGTACATGTGAGTCACTATTTGTCCTACTGTATTTTGTATTTTTTTTTCATAATCATTTTCATTTTCTCCCGTTCCAATCCGTCACGGTAGGGCAGTACTGATCCCCGCAATAAACCTTCAGTTTGTATTGATGATTAAAATTATTATTTATTTATTTATAACTATTTTTTTTTTACAGTACACGAAAAAAAACAACTACAACAAACGTTTATACAGTACTTTTATTTGTTAAACAAATGCTTGGGCCTGTAAAAAGTTTTTGTTCCTTGATTTCAATGTTTTATGGAGTATTTCATTGTATAATAACTAAAAAAATTTAGGTTTCAACTTCACGGATTTCGCTTATTGCGGGTTCTTTTTGGAACGTAACCCCCGCGCTAAATGACTGTTCACTGTAATTCTTATGGCTCTTCTTAGTTTCAAGAGTCCCATGATCCTGTAATCTAATTGGTCTTCATGATCAGGTCTTGGAGATTGTTTTTTTTACAAGTTATATAAAGCTAATCAAAACAAGCTAATCAAGCTTGTTAAATCAAGAAGAAACTGTGACTAATGCTCTTTTTCTCAAAATGTAATTTAATTCCTCTTGCCATACAGTATCCTGTTTGTCAACATGAGGCAAGGGAAAATATTTCATAAAAAGCAACAGATCATACCCCGAGCTAAAGAGATTTAAAAACAAGAGCAGAATCAGTGAACTCCTTCAGGCCTCAATGCTTAATTAAACCATTTCTCAGACTTTTGAGCCCCAGCTAACCACACAGATGGATACATTTACTCCAAAAGTGCAGCAAGTAATCCAGTAGTTGGACATAAAAGATGTAGAGAGCTGCAAAACAGAGCAGCTCCAATAAAGATCGATGTTCATGACTGAACAATAGGAGCCCTGGGAAACATGGTGGTGTCTACGGGTAAATCCTGAATGTCTAGCCATCAGTCTGTGACCTTTAGCTCAACAGCACTGGGATAGTACCTCAGAACCAAAAACTGACCCAAACTAGGCTTGAAGCCTAGTTAAAGTCTGGAAATATCTGACTGAGATACTGATCAGATTGTTATGACTGAACTAGCTCCAGTTTAGCTCTGGAGCTGGTTTAATTGAAAATGTGCTTTTTTTTTTCTTTTTTTTTTTCATACTGTTGAAATCGAGTAAAGAGTTGAAAGACTTACGGCAGGAGGGTCTTCATCTTCACTGTCCTCATCTTCTGTCTCCACTGGAGCAGTGTGGTTACTGTGGTTGTGATTTTGTGGTTTTGGGCCCTTCAGCAGCGAATTGATGGCTTTGTTTCTGGCATTAGCGTTTGCTTCACCCCCATCTTCATCCTCTTCATCACGGTCCAAGTGCTCCATTAGCACCTTGAACTATGAAGAGGTAAAAAAGGAACACATTTTTCTACCCGTCTGATAATAACTTAGAGATATCATGAAACAAAATACCAAACAAAATAAATGAATGAATAAAAAAAGTGCTTACATCCAAAAACTGTTTGACGATATTCCTCTTAGTCTCATAGCTGAGCTCTCTGTTGGCCACATCGTTCTTCAGGTATTCAAGGGTCTGACGAGGGTTGAAGTTCACCTTAGATTTCCTGTTCACTGCCTTGTCATAAACTTTGGCGGACTCGGTCGGTGAGTACTTCTGGATTTTGCTGTCAAACAAGCCACATGTCCACACTATTGCAGAACGAGTTCCTAAAGGATTTGCAGCAAGGACTCTGTGATGCGACCTACCTGTCTGAGAAGCCGTAAAGATTCTTCATATGCTGCTTGAGCACCAGCAGCAGCAGGATTCCCTGTGAGGCGCTGGCAAATTCCAGCAGAGGGGCGGGGTTTTCAGGCAGACGGTCCATCACAGCATCCTCATCATCCAGATCCGAGTCCGAGTCACAGCCTCCAGGCTTCTTTCGCTTGCGGACTTTCTCCTCCTCTTCATCGCTGCTGCTGCTGCTACTGCTACTGCTGCTGCTGGATGAGCTGCTGCTCTTCTCTTCATCCTCATCGTCCTCCTCATCAGAACTGTTTTTCCTCTTACGATGATGTTTCTTTTTTCTCTTCTTTGTCTTCACCTTCTTTTCATGTCTTACAGGCTCTTTCCGTAAACACTACAGAAGCATAAAAAAACATTCACTGATGTAGAGAACTTTGATTTAAGACTTCATATTTTAAAACACAAAAGAAAGTTTTTACTATTACCTGCAACCTGTAAAATATGGATAAATAAAATATGGATAACTAACAAAGAACAGACCAGTGAGACCAGATATATAAATATTTTAGTTTGTACAAAGCTTAAATGCCTGCTGTCGGGGTTCTTTATATACCTTTATAGCTACATCTTCAGCAACACATTTATATAAATCAAACAGTGCATTTTGAAAGTGTTTGTCCTTTACAATGACATTCAATGGGAAAGGTTTCTTGTCTGCGTCATGTGGCCCTTTTCTGTGCCGTGTCAAGATGAACTGGAGGGTTAAGCAGAGAATAGCTGAAACAGCAGATATTAAACTTTAGGATCATCAAATTAAGGCTCTAAATTAATTAAGCTGTTGGCATTTTTTTTACTTAGGTTTAATCTGCAAAAAAATAACGAGCTGAATTTCACTGTGTTACAAGTTAAGATAGAACTATCAGGGTTCTGCCCTCTGGTGGGGTTTATTAAGTTTATTTGTTAACAACTAAATCTACAAGACTCAACACTGCTTGATCTCTGCCTTTGGGTCCTCAAAAACCTAATCTGAACGTGACAAAAACAGAGAGAAAGGGTCCTACAGCGAGCCTTACACTAAATGTGTTTGCATTCTAAAATGTGATCAAAACTATGTTGATATTCTGCAATTATCAAAACTGCTCATGTTTGCAATCACTGTTTTTTTTTTTTTTTTTAGTTAAAACTGCGTATGAATATGTTTGTTCACTCAACAACTCTTGGAAACAGCATGCCGGCAGCGGCTGAAAGCAGCCAGGGCTCTAGTGCTCATTGTGCTCATAGACGCTAACTGAATGTAAAAACCGCTGAGTTTCCTCATGAATCCAAATATGTCGCACCATCCTCCTCCAACTGCTTCCAGTCTTCCTTTTTGTCTTTTTACAAGGCAGTAAACTCCAGATTCAGATCAGATGACTTGCGTGATTCAAAAACGGTGTTTCAATTGCAGTTTTACAAAATATACAAGTGTAAATTCAATAGAAAAATAGACTCATCAAAGAAAAAACTTTTGATCAAAATATGTGATTTTTTTTTTTATTGTGTTTCCATTTAGCAAACTATTTTCATAATTACAATCTGCATGACTTGATGATTAATGGACACTCATCTATTGTAGCCCATTCGATCTGGCTGGGCTTGTGTGATCAGAGCATCGTAGCGGCTTCCTAAATCTGTTGACTCAGCATATCGAGGCTCTCCAGTGCAAACTGGGACAAAACATCTGTTACAGCGACTGCAGCACCCAAAGCTGCTGGTGAGGGAGTTATGCGAGACACAATCATAAAACTAATGTAGAAACGTGTCATGTAATCCCAGTTTCAACCATTATTTCACAATAACAAACTTTTCAATGGGTTTTAATGGACTAAAGTAAATGCGACATGGCAGTATGTCTTGGCAGGATAATAATGAGCAAGAAATCTCTCTGCTGGCAAAGCTATGGTGAAACATACCAAAATTAGTTCTATCACTCTATATCTTACCTCTTTGAAAGACTGAAGCAGGTTGCTACCAGAGACAGACAGAGTGATGTCTATATGGTGCATGATGAAAAGAGGCTCCTCCTGGGTTTGGTAAGGAAAGCACGCCAGGTTGTCTGCTATGAAGAGCAGCATGTTTACCTCTGTTTTCTGCAGGATGCAAAAGAAACATACAACCACATAAACTCATCGGAAACCACGTTTATTCTATAAAATCGAGTCCAAAGAAGGCAGGTGAACTCACAGAGCTGTCATCGAACAGGTTGAGCAGGGAGATGAGGAAGGCCCGTCTGTGCTGTCTGTTCCCACGGACCAAAGTGTACAGATGGTAACAGAGAGCCGTGTCGGAATCGTCATGACGGAAACCTCGGATCACCGCGCGTTTGCCCCCATTTATGGCCTGCTGGACCTGATAGGACATCTTCAACCCGGCAACAGCCTTCATCTGAGGAATTACACAGAGAGGATGCTTTTAAACAACATTCCCTCTGTTTGATATCCTTCCAGTTTATTTGACTTTATCCATTTTATTGCATTTAAATGTGTAAATAAATTAAATTATCTAGATAAAGCCATTTTAAACATGTCTAAATCCTACATAGGGAATACAAGCCATTTTCAAATAAGTCTCATTATGATTTTATTCTCCCTTTTTTGTCAAAACTTAATATTTCATATTTCTTCCTTAAAAAAAATAACCAGCAATTACTTACATGAATGAATCCTGAATATTTTTTATCGATCTCCACTAGTTGTTGGTCTGCCTTGTTCTTCATGGTCGGCTCTGGATCTGTTCCCATGGCGATCAGGTAGGGGACACACTAGGCAGCACAGAGAGAACATTTTTGAATCCAACAATGTTTCAAAAACTAACGGCAGCTAAACCTTCAGGGATCTTCTAGCCTGAGAGAAACTGCAAACACACCTGTACAGGGTGTATGAGGCCCTGACTCAGAGTCAGTGTGATGACGCTGAGAGCAAAGTGCCGCACGGTGGACTGTGAGTGGAAGAAGGACTCCAGCACCTGCTTGAGGTAAATCTGCATAATGGAGCTGCTCATGCCTGAGGAGATGTCTCCCATTTCCTTCAGATCTTCCTGCTTTGCTTGCTTATTCCCTAAACAAACAACATCAGTTACACATGAAGTTAGAAACAAAAAGCCACACAATTCTGAAAAGTGCAGAGTGCATCTGCATTTATCCCTCTTGTCTAAATATTGGTATTAAAGAAAATGCAGAAAAAATTGCTTTCTTGTTGTCCGTCTTTCATAAAGACCAGATTTGCGAAGTGCATCGTCTATGTTGGTCAGCTGAGATGTGCATCTTTGCAGCTCGGTTTGTCACATTCAATCTTAGATAAAACATTCTGGAAGTTTGCAGTTGTAACATGGCTGCTGATATGCTCACATTCCCGATCCGCCTCTTGCATCCGGGAGTCCTCCTCCTGTAGGTACGTTTGAAGGTTCTTGAGCACATGGATCTTCAGATTGACAGAGCTGCTCTCATCTGACAGCAAACTGATGTAAAGAACCTTCACATCTTGCACAAACATGAGTTCTGGATGCATGATGAACTGGAAGCCTGCATGAGAGAAAATGAGTATTGAAATGCAGAACTGGGATTACTTTAGAAGCAAGAGTCAGCGGAATAGGTTAAAATATACCTAAACCAGTCATGGCCTTGATCTGGACCTCTTCATCCTCATGGGTGGTAAAGTATAGCAGAAGTTCCAAAACCTTGTCCTTTATGATGATCTAAAAGATGCAAGTAAGAGCCATAAAGCAATCTCTTCGACAGCTCCAAAGCCTAGTTCTAAAGATGAGGTGTTTACCTTGCTCGCTCCCTTGAACTCTTCTAGGTCAAAATCAAAGTGTCGACAAAGAGCCCCCACAGTGAACAATGAGCGCAGCAGAGTTGGCTTGTTAGCAGCCAGAGTGGAGCTGCTGGGGTCCTCCTGGTGCTGCGTCTTGAGTTTAGCCAGAGCTCCTGCAGAATAAAATATTCATTGAGAATAAATACGGAATCAATCAGATCTGTTCTTCAGTATGAGGCAGATTTACAACAAAACATCACCTCAAGGTACTTCCATACAGAACTACACAAATTATAAAATTTAACCCAATCATACAGGCAGATTCAAAGGCAACTACATGTATTTGAATTTTATCATTATAAGAAAACATTGTGCTATCAAGTTAATTTATTATTCAACAGCTAAAACGTTTGTTTTTGGCAAAGGAAACGCAGCTGATGGCACCGTGTTGTTAACAGTACAGCACTAAAACAAAATAAAAGTGTAAGGTTACAATCGCTGGTCTACCAAAATAGTTCTTTAAGGATTTGGGGAGCTTTTTAAAAATACATGAAAACCTCTAGAACAAGATTTGTGTTATATGAAAAGACAAAACGCTAACATGAATCGTGATGCATTCAGCCTTACCATAGAAGCGATTGAAAGAAGACCACACAAACTTGTAATTATGTGTCACCTTGTTCACAATGGCACCAAGGCAGCTCACACAGTGCTGCACCACCTAATTAGACAAAACATAAACATTCTCCTGTCACACATTATCATGTTTATGATGTTCAGAGAGGTTTCTGTGGGAGCTGTGCAGAGTAACTAGGACTGACCGTCATGCCGTGTTTAATAATGAGCCTCATCAGGTCTTCCTCAATCGTGTTGAGGAACGACTCGCTTGGATTTTCCATCAGAGGTACGACAAGCTCCAAGATCTTGGCCACGTTGCAAATAACCATGAAGTCATTCTGAGTCTGAAATGACAAAAATGCATGAAAGCTACAGCTTGCCGGCACAGTTCTACCTGTGTTTCTACAGGGCTGCCACTAGATGGTGCAACTGTGCCATAAATTGCACATGGACGTCTACAAATAAATGATGGCATGAATACTTGAAAACATATCCACAATTTAGTTCAGAAAAATTTACCAAATGTCACTTTGTAGCTATAAATCATTGAGCTGCAGTTTAAATATGGGGTCAAAATGAAAAACGGCTAAAAGGTTAAACTTATTCTTGTTTTGTTGATTCTGTTCTTATTCTTTTAGCTGGTGAAAATGATCACCTTCAGGGTATTGTAAACATATGTAGTAAAATTCATCATTTTACCCTTGCATGAACTTTTTGAAATCTACCACACCAGAGCTCTAAAGACAGCAAAAATAATCTTGACTGACTGAAGCCTTTCTTTATAGGGAGAATGTTCCCTGCTACCTGCAGGAAGAGGGTACAGGATGCAACACTGTGGAGTAAACATACTGAGAAAATCTTTTTTCTGTTGCTGTCAGCTTGGGAAACTCTGCATTATAATAAAAAAAACTCTGGCTTTTTTATGTTTGTGCTTTTTTTAAGCACCTGCTATCTGCACATCTAATTTCCCCCTGAGGGAAAATAAAGTTTACCTTGACCTTCTTATAGAAAGAGATGTTTTTATTAGAGAAATGTTATGGCCTATGCAGTCACTGGGATGACTACTGCACATTAACCAGCACAGTTAGGTCAAGAGCTACAGGTTACAGCTAAAGAAGAAGGTTGCTCACAAACATATCAATAAAAAGTTAAGTGGAAGAAAAAAGTGTGAGCTTCACTATATGATCCTGAAGATTCTCGTTTTGCGACCTTACAATTCAAAAGAGGACTGTTGCTGTGTGGTCTAGTGTCTTCTATTTTTTTGATGAAAGTCAATTTTTCTTTTTTCTTTTAAATGAATGTCACATCCTCTGGGGGAAGGTCGGAGAGTTGAACTTAATGGAGCTCCAGCATTCAGCCATGAGTAGGGGACCCCATGTCATGTGCTGGTGTTACTCAACTGTGTTTTAGTGAATCCAAAGTAACTATAGCTATAAACCGGAACATTTTAAATGGGCTGAAGATTTCCTCGGCTGACAAGTCATATGTAGAGGCTATAATCAAGAATGGTGTAAAAGCAAATCTGTTAAATAGAGATTTTTAAAATAAATTCTTTTGGATGCAAATGCATTTCTTTTGGTGTTGTTTGATTTTTCTTTTCCTAATCTTGTGATACCTTTAGGTAGAATTCAAAGCTAACTGATGTCTCAGATATGGCTTAAAGAAAACACAATAAAAAAAAAAATTACTTTCAATTTTTTTTCATTTAATTAGAAAAATTAAATGAACCATTCTAATTTATAAAGATGCATCGGCCAACTGCTTCTGACACACATTTAAGTTAGTTCTAAGTAACAGAAAGTAAATAAATAAATTAGTACTTACGCTGCATTTTGTGTTCAAGTAGGGCTGCATAGCCATTGCATGTTTAACCATGAGGTTAGGCCTGATTTTAGTCACCAGATAAAGGGTGGTGATGCACGCTACCACACGGCTGGAGTTTATCCCTTTGTCTTCGCAGTCTGAGAGGTCAACACAACAAATAGTTTTTTATTGGAAGTGGAGGTATTTTTAGTAAATAAACAGGTGGGATTTCTTGCTTAAATACCCTTTGTTTACATGATTTAAGAATTTACCTGCAATAGATTCCTCATATTTTAGTATATGCTCCACTAAATTGTCCACCAACTGAACACAAGCCTTCTTGGTTGGTTTATATGAAGCGTCCTCCTCTGATTTTAGCAGCTGAATGATAAAAGACAAATAGTGAGACGATGTGATTGGAATATACATGCAAAGACCAGTTAATGTTTTAAAATGAATTACAAAACTCACATTTTGTAGGAGCTGCTCAAACCAGTCATATCCTGAATCTTTGCATGCCAACACCTTGAAAGAAATATAAAAACATCACAGGAGTCAGAGCACATTGGTCACAGGCTTCCTATGTTAAAGAGGCGGAGTAACATACGGACCACATCTGTGATGTTCAGGATCTTTCTCTTCATAGCTTCTTTATCATGACTGGGTGTTGGTGAAAACCAGAGTTTCTGGAACGTCTCGTTCACCAATTTCTGCAAAGGGACATTGTTTCGTTTGAACATCCCAGAACTGAGCAGCACCTTTCAACATGATGTGTAAAGACTTTTTCATTCATGCAAACCTTGATCCCTTCCTCGTCATTGACTCTGCGGATCATCCTCACACACATCTCTGTTATCTTGTGGAAATCTGGCAGCTCCAAGCAAATGTCCCTAAGAATCTTAATGACTCTTTTTCTCACACTGATTCCTGTGTCCTGTGTAAACAAAAAATAGATATTTAAATACAAAATAAACACACTCTAATGTTTAAGAACAAACTGAGCAGAAAAATATAAATAAATCTATGATCATAGTACATAGATTAGAGAAACCACAATATTTGAAAAATTCTTGCAGTTACTTTATTTGATATGTAGGTGGCAGTATTGGAAAAAAAAAATTCACCTCAGCTGAACTTTTCTACCTCAAATGAACTTTTGGACACAGATTACTCAAGTTCCACTCTAGAATCAATAATAGTGGTACATCAAAATGAAGTAAAATGATGAAGATAAATTAAATGCATCACCAGTATCCTTTCAATAAGCATGTCGTAGTACTGCTCGATTAGCTCAGGTCGACTGAGCACGAAGCGGCCAAGAAGCTCTACAGCTGCTTCTCTGACACTAGTGGAGTTGTCCATTAGACGACCGTGCACCCCCCGCTGCATGTCCACCTTAAACATGAAAATAAACAGTTATTTAAACCAATGATCCAAATCAATAATCAGGCACTAGGTGACATTAAGGTCATTCACATATCAATGCACAGTTACCGTAGCTAAACACAACTTAACACCTTAAGCATATCCATTAAGCACTGTGCAGATGTCATTTAAACTTTCTCGAGATTTTAGATTCAAAGACACAAACCTCCTAATATCCTAAGATAATTTAAAACAGATTTTCTGTGGATCTCTAAAGTTCCCCCCCTCATTTTCAGACAATTTTCTGCTGTTTAAAACAATTAACTCTGGCCTGTAAATCTTCCATGCATACGAAACCATATCATTACCAACTTAGTTACAAAGCAATTTAAACCAACCATGGTTGAGTCTAAATATAAGGATACATTAAAAGAAAAACAGTACATAAATAACTTTAAAACAAAAAGCATGAAAAAGTGTAAACAGTGCAACGTATCAAAAACCCACAGTTTGTCACCAGCAGTTAATCATCGCTCTGTTATTAGACTGGGTTGTTGTTTCCTCCCTTTTCTTTGACTGATACTTTAAAAACTTACAAAAAGTTTGAAGGAAAGAAAATACGTAATTTGTAATATAATTTCAGCATCAAATAGATGATTTATCCTAATCAGAAAATGCATGGAAGGGCATTTTATGTCCAAATTAAAGTGAAATTGCCAAAAAAATTCTGAAAGTCAAAGAAGAAAGTCTGTCTAAAAATATCTCGATTTGCCTAAAGATTCATTTTTCAATTTTCTTAATAGATCCAATAAAATCCAAGCCTTAGTATCCATGTGTTAACATTCATACTGATCATTAAAGGGGATTCTATTATGTTGCACTAATACAAGAATTACACTAAAAAAAGGCAGCATATAGTATAAATGTACAGAGACTTACTCTTCCTAATATACTTGGATCCACAGCCACTACCTCTGATAGACACTTCATGGCTTTAGTTCTCACTGCAATAGCGCTCTCTCCCAGGACTCTCAAGATCTGTAGCAAGAATATTAGAAAAAAAAAAAGAAAACATTTAAAGCAAATGCCTCTCATCACCTGCATCTTAACATTTACACTAACAATCTTACCTGTGATAGATAAATGTCAAAGCTCTGTGCAAATGGCCTCATAGAGGCCAGATATCTAACAATCAGACAGGAGTCCTCATAGTCTACAGTGTCAGAGCTTATCCTGCAACAGAAACAATGACATGAGTATTTATTTATCATAATGGGAAATGTATGCATCATTTATCCCAGAGAACTTACTTTACAGAGCTGAAGTTCAATGGTGTTGTCTTGATGACCTTGCGGAGGAATTTTTTCCGTGCCTCAACTGTCTGCACAATCTCTGCGGCCGTGTCCGAATCCGTGGAATGCCGCCGGTACTTGGGATCGTCGTCGTTCTCGGTTTGAGACTTCATTGCTTTTTCTACCTCAACTGTAGTGTCTCTGAACCACTGGGCAATGTAAAAGTTCCTCGCAAACTGAATGAAACAAATGCATGAAGGAGATCAATGGATTGGAATGAAATAAGGAACAATGAAAGGACATTTTTAATCAGGACATGTTTCACAATAATTTTTATGCGTGGTAGAAATGTGAAAAGAAAATTTTCAAAATTGATCTTCTTTGCAGGAGAATCATATTCCCAAAGTGGAAAATAAATAAAAAAATTCAGTCTTTATCTATAATAATTTTCATCTAGTTTTTAAACATGATGAAAACATTTTTTTGTGTCTTCTTGTTCCAGTTCCTCAGTTTAAAATTTTGACATTTTTTATTATGGAGCTCAAATTCTTATGTATTCTACCTTTGTATTACTGAACATTTTTGTTGGGTTGTTTCCACCCTTGCTTCATATTTTAGCTTCTGCAAAAGCATCTCAGCATGAAAAGGTCTGATTCCTGTATGATACAGAGGATTATCTGTATGCCTGAATCCTTAAAAACTCACCAATAAAGCAGGATCTGCATCAATGTTTTCATCGAGGAAATCCAGCAGAGCCTTTTGGAGCTGCAGTATCTCATCACTACCAGGAGTCTATAAGGATATAAATGCACCATAAGCAAGCTGAAACAGTTTATGTTGTCTGTTTCATTCTGCTGAAGGTGTGCCCCACCTCTTTAAGGATGCGATTGATGGTTCTTTGGTCCATCTTGGAAGAGAGAGAGTCTTTACGCAGGCTGGAGGCAACAGTGCCGAGGTAGTCGAGGGACGCCACCCTGAGCGCCATTTCTGTCTGCTTATTACTGAACTGGTGAACCTAGAGTGGGAAACACAATGGAAAGTGACAGAATATTAAAAATGACATACAATCAGGCAGATAATCGATGTGATGGCTTGGAGTGATTTTGGGGTACTCACCAGCAGTCTACCCAGTAAACTGAGCAGCAGTTCGGCTGCAGGCCACTCAGGCTTGTTGACGGCTGACAGCAGGTCATGTACAAAGTTCTCAAACAGAGGCCTGTAGTCGTCTTCTCCCTGTTTACTGCCACATCTGATAGAAAAAGTATTTGATCGTTACATTTTTCTCAAGCATCAATGTGTCAAGCAAAAGTATTCTAAACCCCTTGAGACTTTTTGCATTTTTTCATGTGACAGTTTCAAAATTTAATGGAATACACTGAGTTATTGTGAAGCCGAAAAAGAAGGTGATTCATTTCCTGAGAAGTTAATGGCGTCAAGAAATAGAAGTTTTTGCTGAAGGTTTATAAGAATATTCTTTGATCTAAACCTACATGCCGACAGGGTATATAACAGGGTAAGGTTTAAGGGGCTCAAATAGTTTGGAAATGAATATTGAAACCTGTTGAATGAACAACCAATGTCTGGGAGCGGAAAAAGGAAGTTAGAAGCAGGAAGATGATTTTAAGAGTTAAAGCAGAAATGATGGCTTACTTTTTGAGAAATACAGAGAGAAAGTTCTGAGCTGTCCTCATGGCAGTTTCATAAGAGTTGGTAATGAGGACATCTTTATCAACCTGGGGGGAGAAAAGATAAACAGTATGTGAAATAATTCTTGAATCGAATTCTTTGAAACAGAAAAAGAAGGCAGATAATACAGTGTACCTTCTTTTTAGGTTCCTCGTCCGTCTCCTTCTCCGATGGAAGGTTAACCACACACTGAATGAGCTGAAGAACCAGAGCCGAGACCATCTGGATGTACAGTGCAGGTCCGTCTGAATCGCTGCTGTTTAACCTAAAAACATTAACGCCTTATTGAATCCCAGCTTAAAAAGCCACACAGAGGCATCTTAATTTGGTTTAGATTTTTTCATCTGGACAATAAAGCAGGTACCTAAAGTTCCTGAGACCACGTTTACTTGTGGGAAGTCTGGCGAGGGACGTGAAAATCTCTTCAAGGATGAGCTGCCTGTGCTTCTCATAGCGAGAGAAAACCTGTGGACAGTTATTAAAGTGAAATCCTGCAGCCCAGATTGGAGTTTTCAAACTTAAAACAAACGGATTTATAGCAGATGTATTCAAACAGAGAGCATGCAGGAGTCAACTTACTGCTGTCACCACAGAAATGGCGCATAACTGCAGTTCACTGACATTCTCGACAAAAAAAGGCGTAATTCCAAGGCTTGACACCTAAAACATCGGGAAAGAGAAAGCAATCAGGAATAAAAGAAAGGTGACATTGGGACATGGTTGTGAGGTGATAGAGGGGAAGACTCCAAATCACACCTGGAGAATGGTGGTGTCAGTGAGCAGCTGGATTTCAAGGAGCTCTGAGATGAAGCTGATAATATCACAAACTTTGTTGTAGAGCACCGTGACCACTTTCTGTTTGTGGGCAGAGGATTTTGGTTTCTTGGACTTTGAAGTGTGCGAGGCACCTGGATGACAACGGTAAACAGGGTAGAAATAGACAGAAAAAAGACACATTATAAACAACAGTTGGATTATGTGGGAATTTGTGAGGCATTACTTAATAACTGACAGCTTAAACAAAGTGCAACATGTATATCGAGGATTCTACGGATTGTTTATAACCGGAGCCCTGTGCTAAAAGTTCTAATAACATGAATAAATAAATAAAAAGGTTCCCATAATAACTGCATTTGGATTTATTATAGTTATTATAGTTTGAGCTTGTCTGATGTAAACATGAAGACCAGCACTGTTATTTGGCAAAGCAGCGACATCGTGAGTCAGAAAAATAATGTTGCTGCTGACCTGCTCGGTATGAACGGTCATACTGAGGGTACAAAGTGTTCTGTAGGTGGAACTTGGTGAATTGCAACACCCTCTCGATCACATCCTCTATATAAACAGCCTTGGGCATGTGTGGGGACGTCATTATGTTAAGCGCAGTCAAACAGGAATCTGCAGACTTGGTCACCCGCTCCATGATGAGGTCACGCCACAGCCGTTCCTCATCCATTGAATCATTGTCCTAGAAATGTATCATGCAATTAGTCATTAGGCAAAAATATTAGCAACTTTTACATAAATGACCTTATATGTGTTTTTTTTTTTTTTTATGGTACTTACTTGACTCATTAAAGTGGAAAGGGTGACACTGTCCTGAATGTTTTTCTCCAATATATTCAGAATTTTCACCAGTTTACTGGAAGAAAACTGTGGAGCAAGACAACTCCGTTAGCAGTGATTTTTTTTTTTATACAATTTTTACAAATTCCTAAGCATCGCTACAGCAACAGATTCTTTTTTACCTTGCTAAAGATTCCCATGGCTTTAATCTTGGTAGAATCGCTGCAAAGCTCGTTTAATTGCTGCTTTCCAAGCAACAGCTCTTGAGGTATCTCATCATCATCTGTTTGTGAAATTGAAAAAGAAAAACATTTCTCAACTCCACACTTTTAAAAAGCAATTCCTAGCTTGAAATCAGTGCAACACGTTCTGCTTACCTGCAGCAGTGAGGTCTACATCCTCAAGGCTCTCCAGAATGTTGTCCACGTTGGTTACAAACCTCCTATAAGCAGATGAGTCCATTTTTTCTGCAAGATAATGAAGAAAAATGTAGTTAACAGCAACGCATCATTGTTTTTCGCAATAAAATAAGTATAAATCAGCCAGAAAAGTAATAAATCTGATACCCTCTGTTGTCATCTTGGAATCGTACGCCGTTCTGCTTTTCTGTTTTTTCATTTTTCGGGCAACTAAAAAAAAAAAAAGAAATACATGAGCCACATGACAAAAACTCTCTCTTTAACTTTGGCATTTCACTGAGATAGACTGTAGACACCAATAAACAAATTGAAATGTAAAGACCAATCGTAATAAAAGTTGATTCAGACAAATAAAAAAAAAAAAGAGGTATGCAGGTGTTTGTTTAACGGAAGACATTTGTTATGCCACAAAGCATCCCTTCTGCACCCATGATTTTTCTGGGGGGGATTCTCAACTTTCACTGAGTTTGCAGAATGTCCCCTCCTAGTTGAGCATGTAGCAGCAGCAGACAGTCGCTTGAATTGTGTGGTTGACTTTGCAGCAATTCCTCATGCTGAGAATCCGCGTAGCAACAGTGAAGAGGAGAACTCCCCTCTAACAGGAAGAAACCTCCTGCAGAGCTATACTAATTATTCAACTACCGGTATATAACAACAGCATGTTTTCCTTATTCAGGGTTTATACAGGAATGAATAACTCAAATTTATTGCTTTTTAAAGCTCTTTTAATGCTCCCTGAAATTATTTTAATGCCACCAACAGGTACCTGTCGACAGGCTGCAGCCATGTCCCGAATTCCTCATTTTCCAACCACTTCTGTAGAAATTAGCTTTTTTCCCCCATTCTATAGCTTTTTCTCCAACTCAAGCTTCTTTTCTGAACATACAGCTTTGCGATCAGCAGTACCACGCAAATATATCGTGATATAATATGTCTGACGAAATTGTTTTTTTAAATTTTTTTTTTAATAAAGCATTTTAAATGCCACAATAAACACATTTAATTAATTTTAATGTCAATTAAGGCCTTAATTTAAAAAATAATAACTTAATGACTTTTAATGATTTTTTAATGACCCGCTGAAACCCTGTTATTTGATGCAACCCGAGGTGTAGAATAAACTTTTGGAACAACAGAATAAAATAAAATGTGGGTCTTGAGCAATTAAAAATTTTTTTGGGGGGAGTTTTCACAGCACTAGTGGCTCGTTTTTTCGACAGTAGGCCAACAGGAAAGGGGGTATGAGACTACGGCAAAGGAACACAGGTCGGATTCAAACCCGGGTCGGCCCATCTAGGAATAAGGCCTCTGTGCATGGGTCGTGCGCCCTAACCACTGCGCCTTAAACATTAAGTCTAAGTGTCATTAAGTTGATATGCAATGATTTAAGTACATGTTGATGAAATTGCTTCCAAAGGTAAGCAAAGTAAAAATATGAGCTTATGAAAAATGGTGACATCCAAACACATAATTGGAAAACTGAGCCAAACTTGCTCACAAATTCACTTTATTTGGTAAGTAATAAACTCTTCAAGTGGCAAGATGGATATGTCTGTTTTTACTAGACTTTTTTATAACAACAAACATTGACTTGAATGGAATGTTCATGCCAGGGTGAATAATGTGACACTTAAGAAAAGGGGATAATGTCCACTGTGTTTCATAAATGTATTGCATTTATCCCAACGCTTTCTGGGATAGTAATGATAAGGCCTTGTTATTTCTTTTTCATTCACCTTTACATTTATTTTGCAACTTTGACATTAAGAGTCCTGTATGGATCCAGAGTTCTATGGCTGCTCAGCTAACTGCTGAATCAAAGCCAAGGTAGCAGAACTCTTTCATATTATCTTTTAGTTTTTGTCACGTTTTCGAGCACAGGTTTTCAAGAAAGGTGTAAAAAGATTAATGGTCTTATGCTGGCTGGTGACAGAAAAGTCTCACCATCATTCAGGCTCGGTGGAGGCGAGTGTTCATCTGAATCATCATTGCTGCTCCAGTCCCGTTGACGGCCACTTGAACCCCGCCGAGAGTTATGAAAACTTCCACTTCGTTTGTGATCCCTAGAACCTTTCCTCTCTTCCATCTTCCAAGCTTTGTCGTGACTTTTCTTTTTCTTTTTTCTTGGAGCTAAAACACAAACAGAGACGGTGATTAAAATGGAATCCCTGTAAAGCTTTTGTTTAATTTGAAACGGGCCAACATTCCTGTTGTGTTATTCATCAAAGGTGGGCACCACGCTGCAGGTTAAACATGGCTCTGTAGGAATGTTTGAGCTGACATTTAGACTAAGACAACATTTATTGTCATTTTGTATACACAGAGTGTATGTAAAACGAAATTTCATTTTGCACAGCTATGATGATATTTCCATTTTCTTAAAGTGCAGCAGTGATCAAAAGTAAACATTGCTGGAGAAAAAAAAAAAGGTTTAGGATTTAATACTCACACTCATCCTCAGACTCAGACTCCTCATCATCATCCTCTTCCACCTCCTCGTTATCTGAATCCACCTCAGCATATTTGGATCTTTTACTGATCATGCTGTGCCTTCGCTTATTTGCTCTCTCTGTGAACAGGATGGATTATATTTACATTCATACAGAATAATTGTCCCAACAACAATAGGCTTCATTCAGCAGCATCTTGCTGCTTTTTAATTGTTGTCAAAAATTTATGGCTGATCAGCTTGGTCTCAAATCGTCCAAATCATAAAATCACCCTTAGTAGTTGTGTAAACTCTGTTTGTCTTTGAATAAAGTATGTCATTCTGTTGTTCTGCACAACAACTGTTAGATGGGATCTACATTCCAGGTGTTTTAAGGGTATTTCTTAGGCAAAGACAGAAGGATTTAAAATGTTCAGTTCTCCTATTAGCTCCACAAGGGGATTAAACTAAGTCACACTCACTATGAGAATGCGTTAGCTATTCTGGTAACAAATCATCAGTATGTTGAAAAGCATCTCATGCTCACTAAGCACGGTAGAGAATCTGTAAAGCTTTGGGTCTGTTTAACTTTTACGGCTCTGGGAACCTCCTTGGAGCATATGGCATCTTGCACGCATAAATATAAGTGATCTTCAGTAAAAATCTGGAGGCCTTTGGTAGACAAATTAAAATGACTCAAGTATTGGTCTATTGGCAGGATAATAAGAACACAGAAATGGTTCCCCAAGAGACAAAAATCAACGTTCTTCCATGGCCATCTCAACAGTCAGAAATACAGCTAAAACCAAAAGGATTAATACCACCGGGAGATTTAGGTATTAAGGTAAAAAAAAATAACGTTATTTCCCATACCGCACTTACAATTTCTGACATGTAAAATTTGTTTTTCCTGTTTTCAAGCAATTCCCTAAGCAAATGTTTTAATTGGATGGAGTAAATTTGAATTTCATAAACCATTACTTAAAGGGGTCATAGAATGCAAAACTGAGTTTCCATCCTCATAGATGAATAACGATAGTTCAGTGGGTGAAATGGACGTACAGAGAAGTTCAAACCCCATCGACACCTCCTTTTTCTGCAAATCTCACAATTCTAAACATCCACTATAAAATGGGAGAATCCAAACGAAGCACCAAGTTGACGTCAACTCGGGGATGGTGCCTTATTTGGTTCTTGCCTGTACTTTTGTCACACCCCGAAGTTTACATACAGACCAGCCCACTGGTTCATTGGCCCAAGAACATGAATAGAGGTAGATGTATGACACCACTTTAGCTGTTTTGCCTACAGCTGGGTTTACTTCTGCAAGAATTACAAAGCAGGTAGTTTCTCTATTGAAAATGAGACAGAACCAGAAAGGGGAAAGTTTTCAGTCGTCCCAAGGATCCGAAGATTCGAGAGGCATGGATTAATTTGTCTATCAAAAGATCCCTGCAAAGTTTGATGCTCAGCTGTTCATTTGCTCTAAGCATTTTACTGAAGACAGATTTCAAAATCTTGAACAGTTCAAACAGGATTTGCTAAACTTCTTTTACTGAAACGAGGGGCTGTTCCAACCGTAAGGTAATCACAACCGCAAGCTGTAACTATTATTTTGTTGCTAAAGCCGGGAATACACGATTTTTTTCAATCTTTGCGCACAGCTACTGATCACATTGTACGACTCAACCCTGCGGTTTAGTCATACGGTGTGACTCCCTCTCCATCTTTGTCCTCATCTTCATCCAAAAACCACGTCAGACTCAGCTCCGCAGTGAGATGGAGCTGCTCTGACAAACAAATAGATGGGGAATATGAGGCTCACTGGAGTGAAACGCGCTGCCTTGGCAATTTTTGAAATTTTGTGCTGAAAGCCCTAATAATAAAAGGCGACAACATATTTGGACAAAAACATGGCTGAGAAATTGCGGTTAGTATGGTCTGTCAATTTTAGAGACAGAGTTCCATTTTTAGTCATTGCATCCCTGCCATGCAGCTGTGTTTACATGTGAGAGGAAGAAGAAGAATCCTTTTTTGAGCATGCCCACTGAGTGATTTGCCCACGACCTCACGATTCCTGATCGGGAGGTAACCCCCTGTACACTACACGACGCACGATCCAGCTGAAAGTCGTCGATTCTCACGCGACTGGAAAATTGCCACGAAAATCGCACAGTGTACGCCCAGCTTAAAGGAATAATACACCCAAAACATGATTAGCCTTCATTTTCTACTCACCCCCATGCTGAACAACACTCTGGAGTACTTTCATCTGGTTTGGTCTGCCGCGGTTTCCGTAGAGTCGTGAACTCGCATGCGCGCGCTTTGACACTACTTTGACACTACTTTTACACTACTGTTTATGCTCTAAAAACATTCTAAGTGACTTTGTTTCGAGTAAATTATGGACGCTACCCACTCAGGACACTTGGAATACATTGGACGAGCAGTATGGAGGAATATTGACACGTTTTTTGTGGACTTTTATGGACCTTTCTGCCTCGGGCGCCATAGACCTCCATTATTTGAATGTCAGCAGACAGCAAGAAGCCTCCCAGATCTCCAGATGCATTTGAGATATCAAAAAAGTACTCCAGAGTGTTGTTCAGCATGGGGGTGAGTAGAAAATGAAGGCTAATCATGTTTTGGGTGTACTATTCCTTTAAGCTATTGGTAGCAATGCTAGTATATCTAGGGTGACCAGATTTGGGTTTCTGAAAAGGAGGACACTTTTTTTTTTGGGAGGAGATATGAAGTGTCGACTTCTGGGCCGCTGACTGGACCAGACCTCAGCAGAGAGGCATGAGACACCCTTCCTCAGCCGGAGGACGAGGGCTGGGGGCCAGTAAGGAAGAAAACCTATCATTTCATTCTAGGGCTTTTAACCAGGCTCGCATTAGGGCTCATAGAACAGCAAATATGCCATTTTCAGCCCAACCAATGTTACACGCCCTTTTCAGAGACCTTAAGGACCAGCACCAAATACCCTATATAATCATTCTATGACCCCTTTAATAGTAAGTTGTTTAGATCTCCAGTTAAGACCGACCAAATCAAATATGGCTCTTACCTCTGTCCGAGGAGTCATAGGAGGACCACTGTCTGGATCTGTGTGCATTCTTGGTTTCCTTCATGATCCGTTTTACATCCTCTATGCTGAGTTTCTTGACCACAACGACTGGTTTAGTTCTTTTGTTCAAGTTCTCAACCAGAGAAACTCTCTCTAACCGCACCAATGGTTCACTCCAGGTATCTATCAGTTTGCTTTTGAGCCTGAGATCTTTATCTGCTCCGTCTTTTCCATCTCGTTTCAGTTTAGGAATCACAAAGTTCTTGAGACTTCCTGAATTGCCACCCAGCAGGTACGGTGGCAAATCAATGGCTTTTCTCTCAGAGCCTTGCCGTTTGCTTGCAGGTTGGCTTGTGCTGCTGTCCCCACTTGTTCGCTGCTCTTTGTTTGGGGTGGTCTGCAGGCTGGAAGAGGAAGTCCTTTGCCGATCTGTGAGCTCAGCTGATTTTCTGCCTTCATCATGCTTCAGTTTAGGGCTGTCAGATTTAGTTTGCTCCTCCGCTGGGTTTCTGTTAGCTTTGCCTTCCGACGCCATCTTGTGCTTTTTGTTCCTGTCTCTGTCTTTCTCTCTGTCTCTGTTCTTTTCTTTACCTTTTTCTTTGTCTTTATCTCTGTCTCTCTTATCTCCTCCTCTGAGTTTTTCTCTGTCTTTGATTTTGTCCCTTTCTTTAACCTTGTCTTTAACTCTTTCAAGGTCTTTGTCTTCATCTTTGTCCATNCCTTCATCATGCTTCAGTTTAGGGCTGTCAGATTTAGTTTGCTCCTCCGCTGGGTTTCTGTTAGCTTTGCCTTCCGACGCCATCTTGTGCTTTTTCTTAACATCTTTGTCTTGTTCGCTGTTAATGTCAAAGTTTTCATCCATGTGTCTGCCTTTCTCTGACTGACCTTTTTCTCCTCCTCTGAGTTTTTCTCTGTCTTTGATTTTGTCCCTTTCTTTAACCTTGTCTTTAACTCTTTCAAGGTCTTTGTCTTCATCTTTGTCCATCTCTGTGGATTTGTCTCTTCCCCTGGATTTTTCTTTATCTCTAAACTTGTCTCTGACTCTGTCTTGATCTTTTCCTTCCTCTTTATCCCTTTCTCTGAGTTTGTCTCTTTCTCGTTTTCTTTCTTTGTCTCTGATTTTGTCTTTATCTCGAACTTTGTCTTTGACTCCCTCTCCATCGTCCTCATCTTTATCCAAATCTATGGATTTGTCTCTTCCCCTGACCTTTTCTCCATCTTTGTCTCTATCTCTGACTTTGCTTTTGAGTCTCTCCAGGTTTTTGTCCTCATCACTGCGTCTTTCTCTTGACTTTTCCTCTGCCCTGGATTTTTCTCTTTCTTTTTGGTTTTCTCCATCTCTACATTTGTCTCTACCACTAAGTTTGCCTTTCACTCTCTCCTGATCTTTGTTTTCATCTCTGTCAATATCTGTGGGTTTGTCTTTTTCATTGGGTTTTTCTCGATCTCTGACTTTGTCTCGAAGTTTGCCTTTGACTCTGTCCTGGTCTTTGTCTTTATCTCCGTCCATATCTGTGGGTTTGTCTTTTTCTCTTGGTTTTTCTCGATCTTTGACTTTGTCTCGAAGTTTGCCTTTGACTCTTTCCTGATCTTTGTCTTCGTCTCTGTCCACATCTGTGGATTTGTCTTTTTCTCTGGATTTTTCTAGGTCTTTGACTTTGTCTCGAAGTTTGCCTTTGACTCTGACCTGATCTTTGTCTTCATCTCTGTCAATCTCGAAGGGTTTATCTTTTTCTCTGGGTTTTTCTAGATCTCTGACTTTGTCTCGAAATTTGCCTTTTACTCTGTCCTGACCCTTGTCTTCAACTTTGTCCATCTCAATGGATTTGTCTCTTTCTCTGTTTTTTTCTCTATCTCTGGCTTTTTCTCGAAGTTTTTCTTTGACTCTCTCCTGATCTCTGTCTTCATACTTGTCCATCTCAATGGATTTGTCTTTTTCTCTGCTTTTTACTCGGTCTCTGGCTTTGTCTCGAAGTTTGTCTGTGACTCTGTCCTGGTCCTTGTCTTCATTTTTGTCTCTTTCGCTGGATTGTTCTCGATCACTGAGCTTTTCTTTGTCTCCATCTTTTTCTCTCTGTCTATCCCTGTCCTTATCCTTTTCTTTGCTCCTGCCTTTCTCTTCTTCATATCGTGAGTTGCGTTCCACCTTGCTTATGGATTTTGGCGTTTCGGCTTTGTTTATTTGGGATCGGTGGCTGTTGTTGTTTGTTTCATCTTTGGGGGACAAATCTGAATGTATGTCATGTGTTAGCCACGCTACACATCTGTCCTCTGAGTGTCCCCTATCACTGCCAGGTTTACTATTTTGATTGCGTTTTGATTCACGCATGTTTTCCTGCTTCTGTTTACTACTTTCTGTACGTCCATCACAACCAGAAATCTGGGAAGTGTCAGGAAGCTTTTTGATGATCCCAGGTCGGTTTTCAGGATCTGCACTTGTCTTAAGGCGACGTAAGTGATCTTTACACAACGGCTGCTGTTCCAAGACAACTACTGGCTGACCTATTACTCTCCCAGCTTGCTTCAGATCAATACTGACCATCAAGGCAGGCCGACCGGCACCATTACTCGCAGCACTCGACTTCTTGGGTGTCAGTTTGCTGACAGGGCTACCCAAATGTACAGATGGTCCTTCGTTTGTCTCAATGCCAGGTTCCTGAGGGTATGTGTCTTGTTTCCGTTTTTTTAGAGGCTTGTCTGCAAAGAAGAAAAAGTACTTAAACTCAGTGAACCTTAGTGCTACATTATAACCAAAAACTTTGTTGTACAGTATCAGCCATTCAAAATCACCCTTCCCAGTCAAATGGCCTTCGCCTGGGTGTGTATTTTTTTTAATCTGACAACACCCTTTCATTGAACTACGGGTCTGACCAGGAGATGATGCTTCTCATTAGATCTAAATGACCACAAATCATGACAGAATATTTTAGTACAAAGATTGATGTTTAAAAAAGAATTGTAGAGTACAAGCCAAGAACCAGCCAAGGACCACCCAAGGACCAGCCAAGGACCCATAAAAGAAAGTGGTAAATGAAAAATGAAAGGTAAATGTCTAACTGATGTTAAGAAATGTTTCTGAGTAGAGGTCAGTAACCTTTACCACTCTAAAATCAATTTATGCCTTTAATCATGCTAAACAAAATCCGTTATTAGCAAAGTACTTTTGAATTAAGAAGTAACATGACTCCTATACACAACATTGCTTGCTTTTACACCTAGCGTAAGAAATCTGTTTGACAGTGAACACCTAAAAAACAGCTAAGCTATCATGACTTAAATCAAATTTAGATTTTAAAACATCTTGTTTAATACATTTCAACAGGGCTGGGTATTTTTGCCAAAGTCCGGAATCGATTCGATTTTGATTCATACAGTTCTAAAATGATTAATTTCGATTCAATTTGTTTTTTTACAATAATGAGAGTGGTTCAACTGTGTTTCAAAATACTGATGTATTTTTCTTTTTTCCTGTCACATTAAACACCTGTTACATTAAACACAAAGTGCAAACTTGTAAATCAGACAGTTTAAACATAAGATGTGAACAAAACTGTCTCAAAAGTGCAAACTTGTTTGTGAAAAGTGAAAAAGCGAAGCCTCACTCGAGCAAGCAGACATGACACAGCAGACATCCATGAGCTGCATTAGTTTCAATGCACAAACCATATTTGCAACTACAGGGTGTTTTCTGGTCAGCCCCCATTTGTTAATGTCTTCAGTCAACCTATTCGGTATTTTTGCAGCTGTCTGGCTTGAAGTAATCTTGAGTGCATCTTTCCTGCTTATTTGAATGTGAACATCGGTCACTAAAAAATGAATCGATCTCATTCCCTAGGCATCGATTCTGAAAAAAATTTAAAGGAATCAATTCAAAATCGATAAATTGATTTTTTTCCCAACCCTACATTTGAACCAAGTCTTTTAGAGCCATTGTTGAGGCTCTAGGGAAGACTTGTGAACTAGACAGTAATAACACAACAATATGCTGCAGAAGGTGAACTTCCCAGCCACACGACTTTTAAAGTAAATTGCAAATTTACTAAAAAGATTTCATGCATTTAGCTCTAAACATTTTCCCTGACTACTTTCCATGTCCAAATGAGGAAAAGCTTCCCCAAAGCAAGACATCCCCACTACCATGTATATCCACAGGGATGGTGTGTTTTGGATGGTGTCAAGTGTTGAATATAGGCATGAAAGTTCAGTCTAGTTTTTATTTAAGCAGATCACCTTAATCCCAATAAAAGGTACAGTGCTATAGCAGTTCTATGCACTGTAGCAAATTAGCTAAACTGCCAAAAAACTGGTGCTAACCAAACACCGCTTTACTGCTTAACATATAAACAGGACAATAACTTTAGATTAGCACTACAGAGTTACTTCAACGTTTATTTTGAAATTATCTTTTGAGGTCCTTAATTACATAGAGCTGTGCCTAGAGCTGAGCTATTTTCCACTCAAGTCACAAATACTTCTAATCCTGTTCACTTTACTATCACCAGGTGGTGTTAAATAATCTTTCTGTAAATGTTGGGTTTAGCTCTCATTTTCTGCTGCTGCTAGTAAGCTGATTAGGATCATCAAGAATCAGAGACACATCTTAAAGTCGTAGGGAAGTGGCTGTTCTAACGGTTGCAGTTCAGAATTCTCCCGAGTGGTGCCCGACTTTACACGAGTGAATAAAGTGAATGTGATTGGTTGTTTATCAAGGGGGCGGGATTGTTGTGGCGGAAGGTTCGCAAGCAAGTTTGATTGTTGCCGGTTTGTCGGAAGCATCTTGCTAACCCGTTAGCAACTTAGTGCTAGTAGGTTCCCAATAGGTAATTACATTGGGACCAAGTAGCACTGAATTGGAGACTTAGAAACAACACTGTCAATGAATGCTATGGACAGCGGAAACATGCAAGAGGAGGAGGGTTTTGTGTTGGAGTTCATTAATGAGTCTCTTCCATCATACATTTTTTATTTAGAGGAGGAAAGCAGGGACTAAGTTTTTGCAGAAGAGGACGCCAGGGCGGCGGAAGCTTGGTTCGGTGTAGAAGGCTTACAGCCATACATGTTTAAGCCCTTGCCTGACAATGCTGCCAGTTCTGTTAGCTCTACGCCTGCCAAAGACAAAGACGTCCATCCCCGTGAACACTGGGACGCAACTCAATGGCAAAGTAAATGATTCTTACTTCTTATTTCAACCGTTGCGTTTATTAGCTGCGACATACAAATCAAGATGCTATGACCGAAAAATATTGATTGACAGATGACCGTTGATATATGATTGGCCGAATTTAGGTGTACAAGCTGACGTATAACTAACTGGGCAGCATAAAATAACGGGGAAAAAATTCCGGTTTTTAGGCCGGGTTTTTTTTTTTTATAGAAATTTTCTAACATTTGGGACAATATCGTCTGATAAAGAAAACATTTATATACATGTTTAAGCCAGAATGATTTTAAATTTAAATATGACTTCCCTACGACTTTGATATTAAAAGAGAATTCCTAAATCTAAATGTCAACATTGGATGATCTGTTTGTAGCAACACAGGGATAAATAACTGATTTGTGATTTATGACAGAATAGCATTGTTCAAGTTGTGAAAAGGTAAATCATTTTTTTTGTTGTGTCCTTCATTTTTTTCTCACAAGTAATTAAGGTTCTGGTTAAGCAAAGACAATGACTGGGTGAACAAGCCCGTTATGTACCTTCCTAAAAGCGTTTGAATCTCTTTAAGGTAAAAGAGAAAATCAGTGTTAGTGCAATGCCAATCTAAGGTATTTGTACTGCTTTTATGTCATAAATTAAAAACTAAAAGCTTAAAAACTAAATTTAAATACTTAAGTAACTTAGAGGAAAAGTTAATAAAAAGTATTTAAAACCATGCATTATTTCTTTAATTTCAGTTTTAAATGAAGACAGAATTCTACCAAAAGTGCACCTCCCTAATAAATAATCATAAGAGCAGTTTTATTTCAAACAATGCATGTAAACTTATCTCCATGAACATTTTATACATTCTATGCTCAGAGATTCAATACCTTCAGTTCTCCTTCTCTGCGCTTGTGACTTGCTTTTAATGTGCTTGCAGCCTCACTCCTAGATGCCTGTTTCTGTGCAATTTAGTCCACTTTTGTCACTTTGAGGTTGGAACCAACTGGGGCTGAACAATTTTGCCAAAAATCTAAATTGCATTATTTTTTAATAAATTGAAATTTTATTATGATTTTCCTTTGCAGTAACTCCAAGCTTGTAGATGTTTCACACCAGGCTTTCGGTTTTTGAAAGCTTGCTTGCCCAGACTCCATTGTTGCAGGACTTTACTATAACCATTGTGTTAGAAACTGTTTATTTCTACAACTCTCTTTACCTTTCTGTATGCCGACAAACCAACTTCAAGTATTTAATTACAAACTTAAAGGGCCGGAGGAAGACATTTTGTGTCTTACTCTTGTTAATTATCGTGTGATTAAAAATCAGTGCCTCTGCAATTTGAAAATAGTTTTTTGTTAAATTACGATTTTATTTCAAACGCAATTAATTACCCATCCCTAGAACCAACCTGAGAATGTAAACTGCGGGAAAATTGGCTAATCTTTAGGTAATCATGCCTCCTGAGTCAGAACTGCTTTATACCTAGTTGCAGCTAGTAAGGTTAGCAAAGCATCTTCAGACTAATCGTACTCGTAAAGAGTTAAAAATTGGTTAAGTGAAGTCATTATTCATCGACTTAGATTAACACAGTAATGAATGTGTTCTGACAGCAGTAGCAACATGCTCTAAAATGATTAATGTTAAATTAGGAACTTTATATGAGCTACGCTAACATCAACTTTACTGTTTGTATTGAGGAAAGTGAGGCTTGAATTAACTATTGCTTATAGTTTAACACAGACATTCACATCTCTAATCAGTTTGCAGCGGCTGTTAAGCATTATTCTTTTGGGCTTATCATTGTGTTGACAAAATTGTCAGTTGAAGACAGAGAGAAGTGATTAAAAGCTCTCTCAGATGAACTAATAAATAATTTCAAATAATTTCTAGTATTCAATAATATATTAATCTGAATCAAAAGTAAACAAATTAATCTTGTAATGTTATTAAATTAAAGACAGTTATTGGAGGCACACACAGCTGAACATGCTGTCTATGAATAAATTGCCGGGAGGGATCTATTCCAGTGCATGTTTCAAAGAAAAAAAGTGACGTTTAATATAATATTCAAATCACACTTTTTAATTCAATGGGGATCTGTGGAAACTTTGCATATTTGTGATTCAATCTTAATTGGGAAACAGAGGAGACTCTCTGACTGCAGAGACAGGTTGCTGCTGATGTGTCTGACTTCCTGTCAATGTTTTTGAAGAGGGAGGCGCTTGCTTGCTCACTGCTTGCTGAAGACAACCGGTGCTATCAGTTCTCACCAAGGTCTCAACACTGGAAAAAGTTGCTAGATTTTTTTGCTTGTGCCTTATTTTATTAACAGTTTTCTAGGGTTTTCTGTGCCACAGTATCCTGTTTCTTACACAAAAAAGCTAAAATGTTGCACAAGCAGCAACACTGAACGGCTCCAGTTTAGTGGAGTCCCTGATTGTTGGACTCGTGGTGAGAGCAAGGTGGGCTTCTATCAGTACCCTTCCACGAATGACGTAAATCAAGGAGAATGCTCAGTGGAGAGTGCACCCTTGTGGGTTTTTTTTTTGGTTTGAACCAAAAGCCCATAAAAAGAAAAAAAGAGAAAAAAAAACCCTTCACTGTCTCGCATATTTCAAATGAGGCAAAATACATTTTTACATGAAAAAGTCAGATTCCTGAGTGATGGTACCTTTAAGGTTGCTGCTTTGGTGCCACATAATTACACATAGAGACATGCAAACAAACCCCTGAGTCACAGGATGGGTGGGATGTTGGTCAGTATCGGCTTTGGATGGAACATCAATGTACGCCTCAACCAAATACTGCCTTTGAATTTCAACGTTGAGCCACACAGCACTCACCTTCCACTAAAAGAGTGATGATAGAAAAAAATCTAGAACCTTTTCATAAAAAGTTGGATTTTAAAACCAGCTGATGCAGGGCTAAATAAAAAACAAGTTAATTGTAAGCATATTAAGCTTTGTTTGCTACTCAGACACACAGCTAACTTTTTTTAAAGCAAACAAATTTTACAAATTGTTGAGCTGTCTGTAGGAAATAGCTTTGGGTTTGTATTCCATTTAAATATCTTCATATATTTGACAGTATAGTCAGTGCGACTATGGGGAATACTAAAATGTATTACGATTAATTGAAATTAAGTTTTAACCATTCCCCAACACTAATATAGAGCTCAGAGGTTGTAACGGGATAAGAGTGAAAAAGAAATCAAGATATATATGCATTTGAAAAGGTCAATCTCACCTTTATCTTGGACCTCCTTAGAGCATCGCTCTTTCTCATTGGCTGATTCCATTCTTTCAATCTCAGCAAGTGCTTCAATCTCAGAGTCATCAAACACAATTCCACTGATGACTCCGGTCTCCTTGGTGTTTGGCTGTGCAGCAACTTGTTGACAGTTTGCTTCCTCGTTAACCTCTGACTTGTGCGAAAAATCTTGAGGAGAACTTGATGACTGAATATCATTGTTTAGAACAACCGTTTCATGATCTCCGTCCATAGGTGAGGTTGGGAGGAGTTCTTCAGAGCGGCCCATGTCTGGGATCTTCACTCGAGACAGTTTTAAAGTCAATCTGGCAGAGTCCTTAGATGGAGAGCTAACTATGTCATAGAAGACATTTTTGTCCATGTTCTCGTTTTCTTCTTTGCTCCTTTCTCGCTGCCTCTTTCTACGGTCGGCAGTGTTAAGGAGCAGGTCAGGTGCTGCAGCCTGTGGCACATCAAGTGATGGTGACTGCATGATGAGAGAAGGCCTGGGCTCTGCAGAAACAAATAGAAGTACAACGACGCATCAAATAATGACAGTTTCAGCTATTTTTAATAAACTGTTACTAGAAACTAAGGAGCATACTTTTTGGACTCTCTTCACAAACAGAGAATACGGCGGCTTTTATGGAAGAGTCATTCTCCTGCAGAAACACAAAATGTTTGTGGTTAGTTTTAACCATAACTGTGCTTATAACCTCTACAAAACAAACCGGAATTTCTGCATTACCTCATTTCCCAGTCTCTGAGCCACGTTTATGTACTCTTCATCCAAACCGGCTTTCGTATTATGGTTAGATGAATTACTTGACAGCTGTTCAGAGACTTTGTTGTCAAGAATTGTTCTCACGCCACCGACAACTGAAGAAGATAGAGGAAAAAAAAAAGTTTTTATCCTGCCAATGCATGATGTGTGTCTGCTCTTTTTCTTGCCACTGATGAGTTTACAATATCTAATGACGGCAAAGTTCAGTTGAATCATTTCAAGAGGCAACACTATACTAGAGGTCAATCAAATTATTGTGGCATTCATACCACGTAAATGGACGGGGACGGGAGTACTATTGGCTTCAAGAATCAGCCCCCAAAAATCGACAACATATCATGGATCAGTTAGACTGATGTCAAAATAACCAGCATCAACATTAAAAAAAATGCATTCTGTTGGTCTTTAATTTAGGGATGCACGATATAATCGGCCCCCTATCGGTATCGGCCTGTATCGGCCTTAAAACTGAATATCGGACATCGGCCACCCCACCAATATTTAACCCGATATTTGATCAGCTTCTGAGTTTCTAAAGTCTAAAAAAAAAATAAAAAATACTACTTCTTCTTCTTCCTCAAAAACTTCTTTTATACTGACTTAAAAACTTCTAAAGACGAGGGAAAAAATATTGATACATTAAAATATCACAATATCTTCATATGCTGATATATTGCCATTTAAAAACACAATATCAATCTCTTTTACTAATGAAATATTGCTATATGTCATCATTATGCTACGAAATCCCCCCAAAATTCACAAAATTTTGCCATATTTTTATATGTTGATATATTGACGCGGTATCGATCTATTTTACTAACAAAATCTCACAAGAATTTGCAAAATATCACGAGAGTTTGTAACAGAACGATGAAATTTTATGAGATTTTGAAAGTAAAATAGATCGATACCGCGTTTTTAAAAATCTATTTGATATCAGCATATGAAAATATATTTGAGTATATTATTTTTCAAAGTGTCAGAAATGGATAACAAAACTGCTATTTTCAATGACTACTTATTTTTGTCCAGCTTTAACATCAGTATCGATATCGGTTATCGGCTACATGAGTTTTAAAATATCGGCATATCGGATATCGGCCAAAATCCCAATATCGTGCATCCCTACTTTAATTCTTACCTGACCAACTTAATATGATTTCAGTAACATAAAATACAATAAGTACGGAAGATATATCACATATATTTTTCTCTCTCGGAAGAATGAATGTCCTCTTTGGTTGTGTTTGGACTTGTCACCAAAATCGGTTCTGAATGGGCTGAGGACAGCATCACGCAGACAACCCCTACATGTAATCTGGGAACGTCTAACTACATCCTGCGCTATATTTAAAAGCACCAATTTACTCCATATTTAAAGTCCTAGCTTTACCCATAATGGATATTTAAGGCCAAAGAATTAAGCCAATTAAGAGTTTAAAAGTATATTAGTAAAACATGTAACTCTCGTGGAAACAATGCTGTTCAGATAAGTGAATTTGTTAGTCATCTAACAGAAAGTAGATCCATAGATGTCTTGTGTTGCTCAAATGAAAGTTGGCATGTTTACATGATAATCTGCAAGACGGACTTTAATACCAGGCGTTAGCACACCTACCTAAAGAGGCCTACTTGTTATGAGGTAAGTAATGGAAAGTTACAATGGAAACTATGAGAATCTTGTTTTTTTTTCAGGTTATGGCTGAATGTTTCAGTTTGTTTACTTTCTTTTTCAAAGTGACTCTAGTGTAACTTATCATGCAAATAATCTTCAGGAAAAGCGACACTTTTAAAGCTTCCTGAACAGGTTTTTAAACAATGAAACCGGCTGGTAAGCTGCAGAGATACATACATCGTATATATTAGGAATGTTCTAACAGACAGCAGGTTAGAACTTAACAAAATAAGGTTGATTGTTATTTGTCCATTGCTTACACTTTGTACTCACCTTGTTGAGTCTGATGAGAGTAACTGGGTGGATTGTACTGAATGTAGTCTGCAGGACTCTGGGGGGTGTAGGGGCTAGGTATAGGACTGTTCTGCTGGGGTACAAACTGAGAAGCTGAGCCACACTGTGGGGACGTAAAGCATCTGTGAAAGAGGAAGAGTAATCTTAGCAAAATCGCTGGGGTCTCTGCCTCTTCATCATCTGACTGTAAGGTAACAGATCTTTACCCAGAGGGGCTTTGCTGATAGTTTGATGCTGGACTTCCATGCACTTGGTTCTGAGAAATCTTGTACTGCTGTATTAATGGTTGCTGTAATACACCTAAAAAATAAAAAACAGAAGGTTAGGATATTTGATACTTTAGCTAAACCTAATTCACCAGCCCTGAAGATTTACTGGAAACCTAAATACATTTGCTAAACAACGTTTTTTTTAAATGCAATAACAAAAAATTCAGCTTTATATAATGTTTAAGAAAACTGACATTCATAGACTTTTTTATATGTTCAGGCAAGCCCTCCACTCCCTCTAAAAATTGTTAGCAGGACAAACAACCATGCACAAACACGAATTCAAAGCTAAAGTGACAAAATGATCTAAAAATTGCACTTTATGTTTTTTTTTCTGCAGGTGGAACTTGAAGCAAAAAAGAAAAAGAATGAGAAACTTAGTTGAGAATAAAGTCATAGATTCAAAGAATTCAAAGATTCAAAAGATTTTGCTTGCAGTGTGTGGAGCAAAATCACAGCTTTACACAAACAATGGTTAAACTCTATAGCTACAGTATAACTAATAAAGATTGTGAGTACTATCTATCTGGTTTTTGCCAACATCACTTCTTTTATATAACTCCTAGTAACAGTGTTATTGTTGCTATTATGTTTCATTAGAAAGCTTTTCTGTAAACACTTTCCGCCTCCTTATTTTATGGATGTTTCTGTTTTTTGGCAACATTCACCATCCAGCCCCTGTTATTATCACCCCTAATAAAGACGTATATGGAAGTAGAAATATGTTTGTTATGCCTTATTTAACCTAATATTGGGTTAGCATACTTTTGTCCCTGAAGATCCTGGGGTTCCTGGACAGCAAAGTTTGGAGAAGTATTGGCATGTCACCCTCAGGTTCATCATTTCCCAGGTTGTCCTTTAGCTCTCTGAAAAATAAACAGAGATCACAGCATGTCATTTAAAGACAGTGACTGTTTTTCACACCTTACAATATCCAATTTGGATACACAAGAGGTAGTGAGTCTAATAAAGCTGTGTCTTTTTTGTGATCATTTCACTTACAACAATAACAACCACTTTGACTGAATAAACCACCACTGATGACAATACTAACACCTGTTTTGACTGCGTTATTCTTTCAAAAAGCAAATTATTAGCCAGAAAGGCTTAGCAAACTTAATTAGAATATCTATTTTTATTGGTTTCTGTATCTTATAATAAGAGGAACAGTGCTTACATATGTTCAGTGGAGACCTGGTTAAGGCTATGGGCCAGCTGAGTCACCAGATTCTCGTCTCGACACACCAACAAGCTGCTGACCTCGTCGGAGATCCTTCCATTGTAAAGCAGGCTCTTAGCAGTGGTGGCCGGAAGAGGGGAGGGCAAAGGCAGCTGGTTCAACACTAAAGCATAAATGAAAGGAAAAATAGAGGAAGAAGTCATCAAATAAACCTTTCTTTTAAGATCTGGGTAGGAAATGCGTCCACTCATAAGAACTGTAATTACATTCCACTTAGAAATGAGATCAAAGCGATGATTAACGTCAGTGATTTCTGGAGATTTTAATCTAAATTTCAGGGCATCTCCTGGGTTCAGAAGACTCTGCTTTAGACCATTAAGTCATTTCTAGGTCAGTCTGAGTCCTATAATAACCTAAGCCGTTTTTAACGATTGAAACTCAAAAATGAAGTATGTAGAATATTATATTGTCAACTCAGGGGATTCCGGCAAAGTCATGCTGGTCAGCTGGTTTACTATTGACGTGACAAAACATTTTCATTGTATTGTTTGAAATAACCATTATATATGACGGAGTATTAGGGCCAGGCTAGAGATTTTTTTTCTTATTTCGAGAATAAAGTCGTAATATTATGGGAATAAGGTCATAAAATTACAAGAATAAAGTCGTAACATTACGAGGATAACGTAACATTACGAGAATAAAGTACTAATATTACGAGAATAAAGTAACGTTACGAGAATAAAGTACTAATATTAAGAGAATAAAGTTGTATTTTACATCAACTCTTACAAGAAACACTTTCTTCCCTAAAATGAGGAATTTTGAGCATCATGTAAAGTTATACTTTGGCTTCAGTTTGAAAAATAAGAAAATCTTTTAGCACACCAGCATCAAATTGTTTGGTGCTGCTGGTCGGCCGTCATATGCTGGTCTTAGCTTGAAGCTTTCTTTCTGAAACGGGTTGTGGCATGATGACTTATTTCTCACTATTTTTCAACTTTATTCTCCTAATATTATGACTTTCATCTTGTAATTTTATAACTTTATTCTCATAATATTACAACATTATTTTCGAAATAAAAATAATAATTAAATAACTCTCTTGCCTGGCCATAATACTCCATTGTAATTATAAGAGTCTGCTTTTGCCTTACTTTACATTTCCAATCAATCTTACAAACATTGGAATTTTGGCTAATATATATGTATTGATATATATATATATATTGGTAAAACAACTAATGTCCTCTTTCATTTTAAGGCTGATATCAGCTAGTGCCGATAACATGCTGATAATATTGTGCATCCCTGCTTTAAAAGGAGGGATGCACAATATTATCAGCATGTTGTTCTATATACGATATGGCTAGGTAAAAAAAACTATTTACCGTAATTTTCGGACTATAAGCCGCGCCTGAATCATGCAATTTAGCTTCTGCGGCTTCTATACACCTGGTTAAGGCTATGGGCCAGCTGAGTTTCGGACTATTAGCCGATTTGTACATATACAAGACATGATTTGTACATATACAAGACGCACCGGACTATAAGCCGCAGGTTTTTTATGTTAAACACAAACTATGTTGTGCTCGCAATGTCTGTCTTTCTCGTTGTTGTTATGTCTCGTACCACTTGCGGTAGAAGTCTGCTTCCGGAGGACCTCCGCATTCCCGAGCGCATGGCTACCGTACTTGTGTGTTGAAGCAAATGTGACGTCAACATGGCGGATGGTAAAATCCATAGATTTAGGTATTTACCATAGTGGCCGTTAGCTGTAAAAGTCCATAGATAAGCCGCATTGTTATATAAGCCGCAAGGTCGAAAAATGGGGAAAAAGTCGCGGCTTATAGTGCGAATATTATGGTAATCAATTTTGAATCGATTCCTTTACATTTTTGCAAAATCGATGTCTAGGGAATGAGATTGATTAGTTTTATAGTGACCTATGTGACATCCACATTCAAATGAGCAGGAAAGATGCACTCAAGATTACTTCAAGCCAGACAGCTGCAAATATAGCCAATAGGTTGACTGAATACATTAACAAATAGGGGCTGACCAGCAAAAACCCCGTCGTTGTTACAGACAATGCTGCAAATATGGTTTGTGCATTGAAGTTAATGCAGCTCATGCATGTCTGCTGTGTCACGTTGGCTTGCTTGAGTGAGGCTTCACTTTTTCACTTTTCACAAACAAGTTTGCGCTTTTGAGACAGTTTTGTTCACATCTCAAGTTTAAACTGTCCGATTTACAAGTTTGCACTTTGTGTTTAATGTGACAGGAAAAAATAAAATACATGAGTATTTGAAACACAGTTGAACCGCTTTCATTATTGTAAAAATAGATTGAATCGAAATTAATCGATTTAGAACTGTATGAATCAAAATCGAATCGATTCAGGACTTTGGAGAAAATACCCAGCCCTAATATACGATCATTATTTTTTTTTACTCTGACTTTAAATAGATGAAAGGAAAGTTTCATGATTAGTTATGTTGGTAGTTTTTTTAAAAAGCCTAAATGCTGGGCAATAGATTCCATCTGAAAAGACTGTCCACAGCCCTGCATCATAAGCCTTATATAACATCATGATAAGGCACTGTTTTTTTTTTTTTATTAAACTACAACATAAATTATGTTCAATTTGTTGCCATGGTGTGTGCAAAAAAAAGAAGAAAAAATATAAATTACAGAAGCAACATATGTAAGAACACCAATGAATAATAAGTAAGAAAGAAAATTCAGCTTTACATTCTTTCTTTTAGCAGCATGACAAAAAAAACATCAGATCACAGAATGTATGTATGTTATCCCCTTTTAATTATATATATAATTTATCTAAATGTATATATTTAATTTGATTTTAAAAGCTTATAACACATTTTACATGTATTATTTCAATAAACAATAATTTTCAACAAATCATCATGTCAGGGTAAATAGGAAAACAAAAATATCTGCAAGTATAAATGTGTCTTTTTATCAATTTGATCCAGACTTCATCAGCACATCGTCTATCTTCAACATCTGTCTGCAATAAAATCCTAGGCTTTGATGAGCTTCAGCTACTATTTAGCATCTTATATTTCCAGCTATGCATTCTTCAGCGTCATCCCCTCATAAATATATCTCTGGTTAGAGCGTGCATGGAGCATTTAGAAGGAACAATGTTGCACTTACAGTCAGTTAGGCTAGCAATTCCAGCAAGAGTAGTGATGGGAACATGAGGCATATCACCATTCATGCTGAAGATGAGGTCAAGAGGTCGTGTCAATGCACAGGCAGCTCAGTGTCACCAATCTCTTCCTAATCGTCACATCTCCAAAAGAGCTGCAAAGACAGAAAGGTGGCAATTGAAAATTCATCCTCTACAAAATGCAACACTGTTCCTTTGCTTTTTATTATTAATAATAATAATAATAATATGATCTAGTTAAATAGTACAACAACAACAAAAAAATATCTGATTATTACCAAGGTGTAGTGTCACTGTAATTGATATTTCAGGCCCCACAGCAAGCATAGAAAGCACCTTATCAGGTATTGATTGAAGATTTAATTCAAAATAAGCACATTGTCCTATGATCCTATTTGCATTCGCCCTAAATATATCCTGTATTTGTTGATCGACCATGAAGAATAGTGGCTCTTCACTGCCCGGAGATGCAGGTAATGATCCAATTAGTGGTCAAAAAAAAGTTTGCATAAATCTGCTTGTGTGCGTTCCTAAACCTCCAACCAAAAAACAAAAAAAGCACTTCCTTTACAGAGTTTCTATATTTATTTTACCAGCACAACCTCTACTCAAACTGTAAGCACAAGCGGCTGTGATAAACCTTTAATCTGTTAGCTAGTTATATCTCATTTTCTCTCTTTTGTTGTCGTGTCAAGATTCCCTGAGTGCCCCAAAAACCACAACAGCGACATTAGCTTATCTAGATATCAAGCGTTCATGTTTTTATTACAACATTTGTGTCTTTTGAGGCAAATGTTACAAGTCAAGAGCACTGACCGTTTGAGAAAGTGAGCGAAATCAACTGGCGGTTAGCCGGCTAGCAACAACTGGAGATGTAGCTAATGTATGCTAGCTGGCTAGGAGTAGCTCATCGAGTGCGCATCAAAGCCGCTTAGCCGCGGTTTCATTATTAATCTTCGCTATTTTATCCCACACCGGTTACAACGTCCAACTCACGATAACTACGGCCTTCGTTGGTGGGTCTCTACCTTCCCAAAGTGGACCTCGGACTTGCCTAAAGGAAGCGTAACCCCGACCCGACGCCAAGGAGGCAGGCAGGGGTACAAAGCAGCAAAGACCCCATCACAAATCAGAATTATACCCCCCCTTTGGACAATTCTGTTAATGTTCACCCCCCCACTCCACGTTTGTCTGCCGGGTCTGGCCACCAAGCAACACATAAAGGAGGGTGAAAAAAACGAGTCGGAAAATAGAATGTTGCTCTCGGATGTAGCTTATTTACCTCTGGATGTGATGAGAAAGAGAAGTGGTTCTGGTGGAGGAGGAGGAGCAGCAGGAGTAGGATGGCAGCTGGAGCAGGAGAGGAGTCTCTAGCTCCCTCTCCGTCCTACTGTTCAAACAGCTCCACCGTGTTAATAGCTGCACAGCGACACAGTAACAACTATGAGGGCTGGGATTTTTTTTTTCTTACTTACATTCTCACGGTTTACTTATCTACTTAAAGGCGGAATAAAAAGCTTTGATTTAGGCCCCGCTTTTTGAATCAAGTCTCATTGAGATTGTCACTTTTTTATGGATTATAAAAGGTTAAAAACTTTCCATCTTTTGATTCACTTATGCATAATGGCATAAATATGGAAAGCAAAAACTGCATTTATTTAGGAGCCCCGTTAAGAACACTTATTGCAGACGTAATAGGGCAAAAAATAAAAAATAAAAAAATAAAATAAAATCCCGCTACATACATCTGATTCGGATTTTGGTGACCGGACCGTATTTATACCCCAACACATTCCAGATTTCAAGATCATGGTGAGACGTTTAAACGCGACACCAATAGCAAAGCAGACAGTGGTACTTTTAATTACTATGTTAATAAATATGTATAGTTCATTTAACGGTTGAAAAAAAAAATACACTCATAAGATCTTAAAAGAACGATGTCTTTGAGTATTTTATTTTTACAACTTGGAATTATGGGTAATTCAGAGCGTAGATTAATATACAATGTGTTAGAGACGATGGATATAAAAAAAGAGGTACTAAATAAAAAGGAAAGAAGAACTGCTGGAAGAACGAAAAAAAACTTCCAAATGGGGGGGAATGGGGTGTTGTACTTCATATGGGGCCCCACTCAGATAATGTTGCTTATGGGCATTGCTCATGCATAAAGCATGAATTGCCCCTAAAGTTTTGCACGCATGGTCACATTTAAATCTATTTTATCAGAATTTTAAGTTAAAAAAAATGGTACAATGGTGCAAAATTATGCAGCAAAGAAAAATTTATAATAATTTCAGTCTGATGGGTTCTATAGATCAGCTTTGTATGTTGGCCCCTTTCTTCCATATTGAGGTCAAGCACAGTGGCGTAGCTTGAAATTTTCATAAGGGTGGCCAGGCATTAACCAATGTACCCTGAGAGGTGGCCAAAAGTGGATAGGCGCCAGAACCTTAGGGTCAATCTACACTGTTCCAACAGGAAAGTTAATGAGCACAACGTTCATATTCGCTAAATAAAGACTAACTATATTTTCCTACAGCCTTTTATAACAAATAGACGCACACATTTCAACATCTGTGCTTTCTAGATTAAAAGTATAGTGGAAACAATTCTTTCAGGTTAGAGTTCTGGGGTGAACATATTTTCCTTTGTCATTACTTTCCTACTTGCATCAATAATCATTATGCATAAAGTTGACATTTACAAGTACTAATATCTACATAAATTGATTATTTATTATGTTTTTACTAGAATAGTTAATCTATGATTTCACTGAAGACTCCTAGAGGATTTGCAGAGACACATAATTTTCTCTTTACCCCATATAACACAAAATCTAGTTCTGAAAAGAGAGCAAGAATTCTGTACTTATCATCTTTAATATTAGTACACTGATGTGCATAATTAAGAACAGTGTCAATTAACTGTTAATATATGAGAAAATGTAAAATGTTTTGAATATTCCACTTTAGAATATTACTACTGTCAACATCGGTATTAGAAGGGGAAAAATGGTAAGGGTGGCCTCAGGTGTGGCCATGGCCCCCCTTAGCCAATCATTGGACACCCCTGAGGCCACCCTTACCATCTAGCTCCGCCCCTGGTCCAGCATGATTAGACTGTTTAGATTTATTAAGTTTTGGCACGGCACAGGTGAAACAAATATTGAAATAAAATGTGAACTTTGACTGAGAAATTGTGTTATATGAAATATACTTTGATTAAAACAGGAGTCTGAAAGCTAAAGTAATCCCATGGATTACTCTTTGGAGCCTCTGTAATGGTTCTTAATATCTGTCCAAAAATAAAAAATTTAAAAAAAGATCAATGGGCATTAGGTGTTAAGGTAAGGGAAAAAGCTAGGTTTTCCTATAGTTTTTCATGCATTATATGCATTATAATATCCCTAACAACTTGAAATGTAACTGCAAAAAATATTCTTTAAAGTCACAAAATATCTCTGAATGCATCCCTTTTAACATACATATTAGTAAATATATCTTCTGTATAGGGCAGATTTATGTAGAACATGGTTTTGGACATATTCTCCCACCTCAGCTGTGTTGTCTGATATTAATGCTCTGCTTGACCAGCCCATGTAGGCAGTCAGACAGATCTAGTTGTTCCATGGTTTTCACGTTTGGAACCAAAGTGCTTTGTGATATTTTCCTGAGGTTGTTTGACTAAATATTTTCTGACAAACTTGCAAAGCATTCATAAAATATTTGCATTTATGCTTTTAATATATAAAAAAACAGATTCTCAAATTAGATGTTATCTGGGGGCAGTTGGTTTGCATAGAATTTATTTAGGAATACTGCTGTTATAAGAGAAAACAAAAGTATGCCACACTTTACAGCTGTTTATGAGGGCTTAGGCCACAAGAGAAAATATTTAATACAATCTGCTAAAATTGATGAACTCAGCTTTTTTTCCAATTTAAATTGGAATAACTTTTAATTGATATTTTAATTAACCACATTGAACTAAATTTGATATTTCGCAAGTTTGTTACAATGTCCTTACTAGAGCATTTTTGTCACTACTTTTATGAAAATCAATAGATAATTGGGAATGCTTCGATGAATTCTTCATATTTAGTTCATCCTTTAGTCTACCTTTGTGTCTAGAAAGGGGTCACAATCAAAGAATAATATTCTTAGGAATTATGCATTAATAAGCAATTTTATCTCTGTTTGTTTAGTTGAAACAAATGAGAACTGCAGATAAAAAGCAATAAATGATAAACGTCTCCAAGCTGGACTTGAAGAGCCCATATGTCAAAGCTGCAAATTTTGATGCGTTTTCTGTTTAATAGATTTGATTGAGATTTAAAATAAAAGCATCAAGCATTTAGAGTTAGACCACTGTCTCACAGTCACAGCCTAAGTATAAATACTTGATGCTTTTATTTTAAAAACAGCAAGTATTGTTCTGATTAACAAACACATTTTTGAGAATTCAGCACTGATGTTTTAATTTCTAACAAGAAAGCCATTAGACTTTTACAGTCATAAAACAGGCATTTTATCAAACCAGAAGGATATGCACACATTTCTATACAACACATAGAAAATTTTGACTGAGAGCCAAAAATCACCCAAAGCATTTATTACACTTTATTGACACATAAAAGGAATGTAAATAACTCGCAACTCTTTTTATTAGTTTAATTGCTTCCAGCTAATTATAAATATTTGCTGTGATTTCCTAATAGACAGGTATAAAAACAGCTTTGTGATCTCCAAGATAAAACTGCAGCGTGTTCAGGTCAAAGTGTGTTTCTGGCTAAATAAAAAAAAGAAAGGTTATGAGCGCCATCTTGTGGGGGAAATTAAACAGTGCAAGCCATTTTTGTCCTTGTTCATCGGTCTCCTCCCACTGATTTGGTCTGTTTAAAATGTAAAGACATGGCGAAGAGCGTTTCATTATTACCTGGAAATGCTTAGATGAGATGTCATACAATCACAAAATAAATCTTTTTTGTTGTTGTTGTTTTTTTCCCCTTTTTTCAATAGTGTGTGACTATTTCTTTATTGAGTGATTGATTGATTGCTTGATTTATTGTCTTTAGTAATCTCACAATCATGGGCGGTTCTAGAAAGGGGCCAACGGGGGCCAGTGCCCCTGTAGATCATGTCCTGTCCTCTGTTATGGCCCCTGTACTGAAGACATAATAGCCTACTCAAAGAAATTGTAATGATAATATGCGCTGGAACAAACATAGTTACTGATAGGTCCTTTGGATCTTTTTTCTTTACAAATTCTGTTTTTTCTAATTATTTAAAAGCAATAAGCTGATAGCTTCACTGGTATTGAGATAGGATCCCAGTTTTCTGCTGCTAAATGTTTTTTTTTTTTTTTTCAAAACAAATTGCTCAAATTTTTACAGCTGAATTTATCAGTTTTTCTTGAGTTCTAATTCAGATTTGATAGAAAACTGTAATTTTACCTTAAATTATGACAAAAATACGTTAAATTCCTAAATTATGAATGTATATTGACCTAATAAGGCATTTTAATTAAACCTATTGAATAGAAATTTCACTTTATGCAGCTATCTTAATGTATTTGAATGCCTGGCCCTGTTTTTTATTTCATGCTTTTCTGTGCCCCCATGAAAACAAGCTGGCCCTCTCCTGGCCCCCTAGTAGCCTACATTTGGTCTAGAACCGCCACTGCTCACAATGGAGACATTTTTTTTTTAAAGCAGGATTATTATACATGGTTGTTGCACAGGATATTTACATGGGTATTTATATAGGTGGGTATTTATCTATATAACTATTGCATTGGGTATCAGATATAAAGAAACAGGTTATTGCCCACTGCTCCCCAAAGGGATGGATTAAATAGAGTAAGACATGAAATTATCTTGAAAGCTGTCAAGAAGTACTTGCATTCTTTATTTATGTAAACTACAGATACCTGTGTAAGAAAAACGCTAAAAAAAAACTGGTAAAAGTACAAGCAGCCTAGCAATTGAACTCCTTCTCTTAAGCTAAAGCTCAAAATTACAGGTTCCTGTATCGTACAAAAATAAAATTAGTTTTTTTTTTACCTTAAATGATAGAGTAACTTTTAAAACTGCAGTTTTATGCACAGAAAATGAGTTAATATTCCTCTTTGCTCACTGTGATGGTATACAGAAGATAAAACATCCTAATGTGGTCAGAATTTTTGGACAGATTATCTGTACGCTCTTGACTTTCCCTTTGTTG